GCGTGTTCAAGGACTCTCCTTGGTCTCCATTCGAATCCCATTTTTTAAAAAAGCCAAATCAATTCCAGGCTAAAGCTGAGAATTTTGAGCTCATTTAACACAGCACTCATGTGTTTTGTGTTCAGTTGTCTTTGCAAAAATGTGGTGTGCGGGCCTCAAAGCATTGCTTGCTCTTTCTTTGGCTTGTATCCATTAGGAAAACGGATTCTGGATATTACTCCGAATAGCAGTAATAATAATAATAAAAAAATAACTACAACAGTTGGAGAGGAAAGTGCATTATTCGAGGGGGGGAATTGTTGGCCTTTCCCTATGTAGATGCTACACATCTGATCATCCCATGAAAATGAGGGCAATGGATCTTGTAACCCATCACATCTGAAAAAGCTAAGTGAGAAAGCCTGAATTTACTGGGGTGCTTCTTGGAGAGAAAGGTTAAGGAGTGGAAGGAGAAAGAGGGAGGGAAGGGTTGTTTGCATGTAGAGTTTCTGCCTAGATAGAAAACGCATGAACTGAAGCGAAATGTGATGGAAGATTTTCTTACCTCTCTTTTCTTTGTGATACCTGCTTCACAAACACCCTTGTCTGAAGGGCATCGGCAAGAGTTCTTGGTGCTCTCTGAGTGTGATTATTTCCCTGCAGATGTTTCATTTCCCAAATTAGGCAACTTCATCAGTGCTAGCGATGATGGACTAGCACTGAAGATATTGCCTAGTTAGGGTAATGAAAAATCCAAAGAAAACAACCAGCTCCAAGAGCACCAAGGAGCCCTAATTTAATTCTGAGCTACAAATATTCTCCTTTATTGGGAATATTTCAGTCATGGTCTGAAAACCATCCTGCTACATACCACATCGGATCCCCAGTTTCATTCTGGTGTTAGTGAACAGTGGGTCCTTTTAACTATAAATCTTAATTGTTCTCTATTTTGTTGTTGCCTTAGGATCACATAATAGATTTCAAAATAAAGAGCCATACTTGTCATAATAGCAGAGTTACTGTAGTCCATTTTAATTATACTTTTCTGTGCAATTAAATGTGGTACAGGATTAATAAAAAGATAAATTATCTGTTATTTCTATCAATGCTGGCTGAATTCTGCTCGTGAGAAGAAAAACATCATGATTATGTAATTATTCTGGATTAATTTGCTCTGTTTTGGTTTCAAGTATAATTACTGGTAGTTCGGTAGTTCAGATTAAGTTGCCATCAATCATAAAGGGCAACTGATTACTAAAAAGGGGATCTTTTTATGAAGTACTTGACCTGGGTAGGATAGGGCATGGCTGCCAACCTTTTTACCTGATACGTATAGCTATATCTTAAATAGAAGTTTGAAACAACAAACAGTATCAGGTGAGACTGAGCTCACAGAGCAAAGTGATTTATACAAATCAAGTTTCTGATAAAAACAGCTTCTAACAGAAACTAATGTTGGAAGGTTGTGATTAGTATTTATATTATTCTCCATTGCAAGCTAAGGTGGTGAGTTTTTATCCTAGAGGAAGAAAATGCTTATTCTGTTTTCTTAGTGATTTATTGAATTAGTGCCATGAAGCCAACCTTATGTATTTATCAGAGGAAGACTTTATTATACTAGGATCACAGCCTTTCTGTTACGAATACAAAGATGCACTATGCTTTTCTCACCTCAAGAACGAGGTTGAAAGTTAAGGCTTCAGAACTTGGTTTACAACGTTGTACATAAACTGGACGCTCCGTCAACTTTCAGCCTCCAGACCAAACAAACAGGGGAGCCATTAATCAGGTCTTCATCCTTGGAATTCATGGATCTGAGGTGACCTGTGACTTATAGTCACACTAAACCTGTTATGAGAACTATTCTGACCCAACACTGTTCAGATTAGCTTTGGGTAGTTGTCAAAGACTCCAGCATTTTTTGAGTGGTTGCAATCAGATGACAGAATCCTGCTTTGGCACTGTCGTGGATTGCACCGGGTGAGTGGTTTCTGTAGATGATCCCACAAATCTTTCATAGCTGACTATATTTATGTGCTTGCTATTTTATCTAAATACCTGGTGCTTTGACTTCCTGCATGTCCAGCTTTCAGATTAAATTACATTAAGCCAGAGTTCACGAATATGTGTGTGTGAGAGAAGAAGAAAAAACACCACAGGAGATCCAGCTGTCAAAGGCAAAAGATACATAAAGGCCTTGCCTTCTTTCCCCTTTAAAAAAAATAATTGTGCGAAATAGAGTTGAACAGGACCAGACCTTAAAAGTGTGTAATATCACAGTGTTTCCTCTCCTTTAAAAAGAAAACAAAACGGGGTGAAAAAACCACCCTTTTTTGTGTACGTGTTAAGGCAGCATTTTTTCTTTGTGAGACCTTGCTGTGAAGTTCTAATATGTCACCATTCAAATGTCAGCAGGCTGTTGGAAAGGAAGCTAATAACTTAAACCTTTGAGAGCTGCCAACAAGAGAGGTAATTCAGATTGTAGAGAGAATGCCATTGTGTTCTTGGGGGAAATAGATTTCAGGAATGAAACATACTACTTGGAAGCATTTATCTTTTGTGTGAGCATGTGGAAAGCGGTGGTAGTGGGAGAGTGTATATATATATTAGAAACCCAAAAGATGGTTTGGCAAAGATAGCTCTGAGGGAGGAAAAGGGAGTTGATAATAGTGGGAGTGAAAGGTCCAGAAGTCCCTGGTTTCTGTTTTTATTGAGAAAACATGCGTAGCTTATGGTAGTCAGACTGCCTGTGCTATGATTAATGCTTTTTTTCCCATATAATTTTTGATTGTGTGAAAATGTGATATTTATAGTAAAATTCCTCCCCCAAAATCATTCCATACTTGCCATCTTCAGGTAGCTGACCTGGAAAGAAAGAAAAGGGAAGGAAAATAAGGAAGGAAGAAGGAAGGAAGGAAGGAGGGAAGGAAAGAGGGAGGGAGGGAAGGAAAGAGAGAGAAAGAAAGAAAGATAGATAGATAGATAGATAGATAGATAGATAGATAGATAGATAGATAGATAGATAGATAGATCTGAAGCATTGCTCATTATGTGGATTTGGGGTCTTCCTCCTTGCCCTCCCATCCCCCCCAAAAAACATAATTGTGATCAGGCTTTTTCGCAAAAATAAACAATTGTGTTTTAGAGCCACCTACTGGAGTTTTGGAAGAATAACATGAAATATAGTGGGATTGATTTTGCCTTGTGTTCCAACTGAACTTTTGCCATGGTATTGGCAACAAAAAGCCTCTGTCCTCCTCTTGAATTCTGAAAAAATTTCTTTTCTCATTAGGTCTTTTTCTTCCTCTCCCTGCACTTTCATTTCATTTTAATCAGAATAAAATATGCCTCCGATTAGGCTTAGAAAGGTTCTGCATAATTTCTGACCACAATAAAGGTGGAGAACAGCTGTCATCCTAAGGATTTTTGTTGAGTGGAAGAATTTATTTACATATATATTCATTTATATACATTTATATGTAATTTTTATAAATAACTTAAAGCGGTGAACATTCCTAATACTCCTTCATCCCTTTCTTTCCCTCACAATAGCAACCCTATGAGGTGGGTTGGGCTGAGAGAGAGAGAGAGAGTGTGTGCCCGGCTTTCATGCCTAAATCAGGACTAGAACTCACAGTCTCCTGGCTTCCAGCCTGGTGCCTTAACTATTAGACATTAAGAGAATATCTTCCTAGTATAGCAGCTCTTTTGCTGAAATGGACTTGAAGCTTTGCCTTGAGAAGATAGGAGATCCAATAAAATATTGCCCTAAAGCCACTGGAACCTTGCATTTTTTCTCTCTTGAGTTTCAGAACCTTGAAATGTTATTGGACTGTAACTCAACATCAGCCCCATATAATAAGACCTGTGGCTAGGGCAGTCCAACAACATCTATAGAGGTTGTAAAGTTTCCAGCCAACTTGTATCCAACTATATGGTAAAGTTTTCTTGGTAACTTATAGTTTTGGGGAAGATTTATAAACCATCTTTCTTCAAAGGCTTTATGGAAGTCATTTGTCATTTGGCTTCTTCTAGTTTGTGTGTGTGTGGGTGTGGGTGTGGGTGTGTGTGTTGTGTTGTGTTTGTCGCTTAAATTTCTGGGAGCAGCTAAGCTTGACTAGATGCTATCTTCTATCTGATCTTGTATCTTTAGTTTTTATGTACACTGAGAGCAAATGCATCAAAGACAAATTCCTTGTGTGTCCAATCACACTTGGCCAATAAAGAATTCTATTCTATTCTATTCTGCTAAGAAGAATTTGAATTTATTACTTTCCTTGTTTGGCTAACCAAGAAGAAAGTAGCCTTTTTCCAGTGAATTGTTTCTATCAAAGGAAGATTTCTGACTTGTTAATAAACATTCATAATGTTCTGATTATCACACAGCCCACTTATGAGAATATTTTAAAGAAATAAATCTTTATCATGGTCACAGACCAGCAGTACAAATAAAAGCATTTAAAACAATAATACAAAAAAACAAAACAAAAAACAGGCAAAATAATTTATTACAATCAGTGGGCAGTAAAGTCTGCATAATTTTGCATATAGCATAACAAAATTTGGCCACCTTCAAAGAAACTTTGTACTGATACAATAGCAACTTTACATAAAAGGAATATTTCCCTGGATATTTTATTAGGTGACATGTTATAAATTGAATCCGTGATTTCTTGTGGAAGATACAGTATAGCAGGACATTTTTTTTTAAATAATATTTTGTTTTGCATTGGCTTCTGTTTTTTACTTTTCAATGATCTCTCAAGTTACTGTGTGCCAAATGAAATACTTCTGCATGAATACACTTTTAGTTCCCAACCAGTAACTTCCATCCAAAGGTTACTCCAAACTTTGCTAGCTTATTTGATGGAATAACTAAAGACCAACTACAATTGACATACTGAGCTGTAGCTCTTATTTTTTGCTTACATTTAGGATTGCAGCCCAAAATGTGTAAAAGGTGTCTCTCTCCATTTCTCTTTGCTTGTTCTTGATTGATCATCTGCCATTTTGTATTTCAGATTTACTACAGAGTAGTAAGAGACATTGAAGCTGGAGAAGAGCTCCTTCTGTTCATGAAGACCGACAATTATTTACATGAAGAGATGGCTCCTGACATTCATGGTTAGCAGATTCTCAAGTATTTACACCAGAAACTCCCTAACCTTTAGACTAAATTTGTGCTCCCCAATTGGCAAAAATCCCTTGTGAACTACAATTCATTTGCCAACTCATTTGCTTTGCAGAGGAGCGTCAGTATCGGTGTGAAGATTGCGACCAGCTGTTTGAGTCCAAAGCGGAACTGGTAGACCATCAGAAATTCCCCTGCAGCACTCCCCACTCAGCATTTTCAATGGTGGATGAAGAATTTCAGGCAAAACTTGACAAGGAGAATGATCTCCATGATATGCATGACATCCAGGAATGCAAAGAGTGTGACCAAGTATTCTCTGATGTGCAAAGGTAGGAACTGGGTATTTTTCTTTTCAACCAGTTACATGTAAACAGTAGCTTTCGAAGAGACCAAAAGTCAGTTTTGCACTATAATACTATATGAACAGACGACCGCTGCTTTTGTGAGAATGGTCCATTCTCCTTTGCTGGAAATTTTCAAACAGAATTAGAAGCCATCTGTTAAAGAAATTGCATTGAACATCTGCATGTCTGCATTGGTTTGGATTGTATGGCCCTTATTGAGGTATAATAATATTGGGCATCAAAGTTATCATCCTGAGAATGTTCGCTTTAAAAGCAAAATCTGGTATTTTTCTCTGCTGAAGCTTCTTCCAAGTAATGGTATGTAGAAATAAGAGATTAGGGGAAGAAATGCTACCTAGGGAATAAACAGATAATAGAAACTATAGCCTAGAGAAAGAGATTGAGAAATGAACCTCCATAATTTCTCAGGCTATAAAAGGAACGGTGGGAGATTTCTACTATTAGATTTCCAGGTTTCTGTTAATGTAGGCTTATAATAAAGTTGAGTTAGCTCATCTGGTTGAATTTCTGTCTGGTCCACTTGGGAAGGCTGACATTCTGTCTAATGGTTTTCCAGATACTTGCAACCCAGATACAGTAGCCCAAGCCTTACATACATGATTTGGTAAACATTTAAGTCAGTGGACTGATTCAATATAAGGTCCCTTCATGTGCTTTTGTGTGCTTTTTTAGTAAGTATAACCAGGGGTGAAATGCTCTGAAGTCTGCTACTGTTTTACCCAAACCAGTAGTAAAAAAATGCTGTGCAATCAGCTGTGTGATCAGCTGTGCAACAATCAGCTGTGCCGTATGATGATTTCTAATCAGGTGACACAGCTGATTGTCACACAGCTGATGGTAAGAGCTACTAGTTCGCCCGAACCGGTAACATTTTTTCATGTTCTGATGATCAGCTGTGCAGCGATAAGCTGTGCCACACAATTTCTAATTGCACGGCACAGCTGATTGTCACACAGCTGATCGTCGGAGATACCGGTTTGCCTGAACCGGTAGCATTTTTTTACTACCGGTAAGTGGAAATCGGTCCAAACTGGTAGCATTTTACCCGTGAGTATAACTGAAGCAAAAGGTGTTAAGAGTTTGACAAAAAAAAAGAACACCAGTGTGTTGAAAGGCTTTAGCCTTTGCCAAAAGGCAGAAGAATTAAGCAGATATTTTGTCTATGTGTCTCAGCACTGTCTTTTTGTGAAGAATGCACCTTCGTGGAGAATACTTCTAATCAAAATAAATATGGGCTTGGTTCAGTCACCTAATTAAAGATACCTCATTTTAGTCATTAACTGAACGATCTGTGCATTGTGTTGAATAAATATTCATGGCTAAAAATAAGATCTGAGCTAACAAAAAAAGTTTTTCCATTTTTAAATGAGACATAATGTAAATATTTTAAATATGGTATTTGTTCAGTGTAATTTTAATAAGAAATACTAAAATATTGCTATGTTAAAAAACAATTGGCATCTTTTGATGAATTAAACCATGTTTTTATATCTGTCAGTTATATAAAATGATAGATTAAATATTGAAATACTGATTAATGGTATTTTAATAGCAAGCATATAAATATTTAGTCGTTACAAAGACTAGTGATATAAAAACTTAATAAAATATGTCATAACATTCAGTCATTTATTATGGGCAATAGTTATGTGTGCTATCAAAACAGTGAATCTGATATCTCACAATGAGCAAATATGAAAAATGGTTCTATTGATTAAGGAAATAATTGGGCAAGTAATTACGGTACCATCCAAATCAGAGTTAGATCAGAGGGAAGCAAATATTTCCTACTCAACATTTTGAACATATGCTAAGCCCTTCCTTTCTTGGAAAACTCAGAGTAATAGATGGGCCTAATAATTCTTTACAATCATTTGTAGCAATCCTAACTCAGAACCCCAGAAGGACGAGCAAGCCACCATTCCTTTGAGCAATTTAAAAGCAGGTTCTCACAGATCAGTCTGCAAAATATAATGGGAAAGAGTCATAATATTTCACCCCTTTACTTCCTTTTAAGAAGCATTGGATCTATTGTTCAGAGGGCTGAGAATTCTCAAGAAAGTCAGCTGAATGTTTGGAGATAATCCATAATTCTTTCCCTTTTCCTGTGACTGCATCAGAACTGCAAATCAGTACTTGGGGTTGTAGTCATCTAATGTTGATGTATGGCAGAGATGGTATTTACTTATTCCCTACCGGTTTGCAAATATGAGCATGCGAGCACATGCGCTCGCTTCGCTCACATGGCCCATCCACACATGTGCTCGACCTTCTACGCATGCACTTTGATCATGTGCATGGCTTGCCTGCATTCATGCAGCTTGAAAACGTGCCTAAATAGGATGGCATAGAGCCAAAGCAGCTGGGAGGGTGCACCCGCGATTTCCACTACCGGTTGGGGTGAACCAGTCCAAACCGGCTGAATTCCACCTCTGATGTATGGAGAAAGGGAAAAAGTGACTTTTTGAGAAAATTTCCTTATAAAACAGCATCAACAATTGTGTTGATTTATAAATAACACCCCAGGTTTTAAGATTTGGGGGTATTGTTGACCTGAGAAATAATTTAGGTTCTTGTCCATCATGAAATTGGGAGTGTGGCATGAGAGTTGGAGAATAAATGAAAACTGATTTTCAGGTGAGAAGTCTGTTCTGAGTATTCAGCTGAACACGTTGACTGCTAGAAATTGCATATCGCTAACAGAAATGCAACCTTGAGGAGAGACGTCTGGACTTTGCAGAACAGATGGATGATTATTGTACATTTCTTGTGCTTAAAAGCCCTCTCTTCTTTTGGGAAAGCCAGTGAGGGTATTAAAGGCTCAGAACAAAGGCCAGCGGGAGAAAAAAACCAGAAGAAGAGAAATCATATTTTTCCCATAAGGAAAAGGGAGAAATGAGAAACAGGGCAGCTCCTTTGAAAAACGTTTAAATTATTTAAAAGCCAATACATGACAGAAACAATTCAAGACAGAAAGGTATGAAAAAAATACTCTATTTTTTTTTAAAAAAAATTGAGCCACAGATGGAATTGCTGGGACAAGCACATATGCTTGGGGGCATTTGTAATTAATAAGAAAGATCCTTGAACATATCATGAGTTAGCAATGGAATAATAAGGAGTAGGTGGCAATAAATTTCAGATGATTAATTTTAAAAGAAAACAACACTAATATTAAATAAGGTGAGAATCCTGACTTGTAATTAAATATAACCAATTGGAGTCTTGAGACGTGAATGAATATAAAAGCAAGAAAAAGTCCTTTTTCTTTATTAGCTTGTTAAGAGCATATTCACTTTGCCACAAAAAAAAATTTTTTTGAACAATAAGCAATAATTGAGAGCACTAGAACAGATACAATAAAAACCAGAGTGTGCAAAGATATTCTAATGCCAACTTAAAATAAACACAATCTAAAAAGTAAAAATAAGATGCAGAGGCTTGGTCTTTATATGTTGATATAAAATGTTATTTTTTTTCCTGGATTGATTGGATAAAGGAAATCAGGAGAAGTATGATGAAAATGGAATAACATCTTTTAGAGGCTGTCTTTGTGACCATCTTCTGTTAATTAAAACATGTTCACATGAAGACAAGAAATAAAACATAACAAACATTTCTTTTTCCCATATGGGATGATTGAATGGTTGAATGCATGGCATCTTTCTCCTAAACTTTCTTGAGGATCTCAAGGTAGCTTCATTGAGGATCTGTTTTCATTTTAACTCCCTACCGTGTTTTCCCGAAAATAAGACAGGGTCTTATTTTCCTTTGACCCCCCCCCTGAAATAAACACCAGGCCTTATTTTTGGGGAGGGTTTATTATTTTTGAGGTGCAGGAGATGGTGAGCATGGTCACCTCATGACTGCTGCTGTGTTGTAATATTTTCGAGGAGGGCTAATTTTCAGGGGAGGGATTATTTTAGCCCATGCCTTCAAAAGCACGATTGGGCTTATTATCCAGGGAAGATCTTATTTTCAGGGAAACAGGGTAATAGAAATCCTGTGGGCCAGTTTGGACTGACAGAATCTACTAACCCAAAGTTATTCAGTTAACTTCCATGGCTGAGGATGAACACAAAAATTTGGGTGTTTCCAGACCAAGTCTAAAATTTTAACAGTTACTCCAAACTGACTCCTATCCACACTAAGACACAAAAAAGCTTCCAAGGATGTAGAATTAAAGGTGTGATTCAAACAATTTTAAAAAGCCCCCCCCCCGTTTAATCTTTAAACAGAACTTTTATTAAAAAATTATGATGCTCCAGGAATGTCTTCCCTCTCTTTTGTTTAACATTTCTTCATTTCCCCCTTTATTTTAAACTAAAATCATAAATAAAAATGTGTCTTTAAAAAAAAATAAAGATGTCAGAGACTTCCCAATAAAATTATTAAAGTTCATTATACTGCCCACTGAAAAGATAGTTCTAATTATTTTCTGATTGATTTTTTCCCCCTCCAGTTCTCTGAACTGAAATAGCTTTTGTTCTGCGTATCTAATTTCTTGGGCGTAATAGAGAAAAATATCCCTATTCTGATTCAATCTTATAGAGGCTTTTGGTTATACCTCTACAGCTTGGAAAAGCACATGCTGTCCCACACAGAAGAGCGGGAATATAAGTGTGACCAATGTCCCAAGGCCTTTAACTGGAAATCAAACTTGATACGTCACCAGATGTCCCATGATAGCGGGAAGCACTACGAATGTGAAAACTGCGCCAAGGTACAGTGAATTTGGAGGATACGTGGGAGGTTTTCTGTTTTGTGGTATTTAGAATAATAGCATAATCTTTTTGTCTATGGAGATTCTCAGCCATCCAGGTCATGGTTGTCCCAAAAGTGATTTTCCCCCCCTAAAGACAACTAGACTGTTTTTCTTTGAAGACATTTTGTTCTCATCTAAGAACTTCTTCAGTTTTGACTGAATGGTGGAAAAAGTAAGGACTTATATTCCTTGCAGTCATCTGGTCATTTGTACTCTTTCTGAGAGTTATTGAGGCCACTTGGAGATTTATTTGTGCCTTCTGGGTCACCTGAATAAAGCAAATGGGTATGGAACCTTCTTGGAACTGCTGACTCCCCTCTTTTGATCAAATTGGTCAAGTAGACCATAGACCACTGTTTTGAAGATAGTAAAGTCTGCATTCTGGACTTTGAGAGGACCTCTGTTTTGAAAGAGGCGTCAAAGAGGCCATGTACATTAAGACCGAACAGCCCTCTCTCAAGAGAGGGAGAGGAATATGACACCACCTATTTCCTGTTTACAACACAGTCTTTTCAGCTGTTCCAAGATGGCCCCACACTCATTTGCACTATTCAGGTGACCGAATAGTGACATTGCGCACATTGGGAACAGGCTCCACCTGTTCATCTGCCTCACTGATGTCTGATTCTGAAGGCAGCTGATAACTGGCATATGGTTCTGGCCCCCTCTGTGCCTACAACACAGAGCCCTCATCAAAGCCTTCCCCAGACTCCAGGACCCCCAACCTCCTCACTGTCCGAGTCTGTCACTATTCAGCACAGACAAACCTCCAGATGGCCTCAACAACTCCCAGAAGGAGTGATAACGACCAGATGACTGCAAGGAATATAAATCCTTCCATCCTCCACCATTCAGTCAGAACTGGAGAAACTTGGGTGAGAATCGAAACGTCTTCAAGGAAAAACAAAGTCCAATTGCCTTTTGAAAAAAAAAAAGCACCTTTGGGACAGCATAGCCTTCAGCTCTGAAATGCATGGTGAACAACCTCTTTGATGTATCAAATACTTGATTACCTTTTTAAAAAAAAATCCTCTATCTTAATCCATAAAGTGTCCTTTTGAGCTCAACTCACAGACCAATCCACAACATTCTTGGTAAATATGATGGCTTCAAGTTAAGATAGTTCAACATTATTCACTGATTTTATGTTCAGTGTAGCTTTGTTCCATTTCTTCTTTTATTCATTATGCAGGAAAATTCATGTGTGTTTTAAAATAAAACACATGCACTTTTCTGATGTACAGATATTAAATATTTCGCAGGTTTAAAACAATAAAGAATCTCAGAATTTAATAAAAATGGATATTAAAATATACTTGCTCTGGTTCACATATGAGATAAAAGAGATCTATCCCACTTTCATTTTAAGAGTGTAGCATTGAAATGTTTCCTTATGTATAAATGATCCATGGCTACATAATAAAAGGTAAAATGCCCTTAAAAGGACTGTGACTGAGGCTTCTCCTTGATGAGGCAAATTTTGTAGGTAAAGTTTTATCTGATGTGTTGTTCATTTTTTTGTAAATGGGACAGTACTAATCTGAAGCCTATCTGGGTTCAATAGCCTTTAATTCAGTTTGCTAAAAGGATACCATGTATGTAAGATACTCCTTGATTTACGATCAGCCGCTTAGTGACAGTTCAAAATTACAATGGACCCCAAAAAGATATTTACTCCCAAATTCAAAGTTCCAATGGCTGCTCCCCTCTGTAGGCACTTAGCACTTAGCCCATATTAATAGATGTGTACAGCATCCCTCAGGCAAATTAACCATGATTTATTATGCTCCCCCCCGCCCCGAGACTGGTATTTTAGTTCCTGCAAAAAATGGCCATTGCTGACAATGGGTTCATTAACTACTACGAAGTTCACTTAATATCCATAGGATTCATTTTAAAATTGTCACACTAGCTTAACAATTACCTTAGTAAAAATTGTAAAGTCTATAACAGTCATACAAGGACCTGTTTAACTGCAGACACAACTTATATCTGTAATTGCAGATTCAATTGCAGTGGGGCCCTGTTAATTTATGAAATTTAGGGATAGTAATTTAGACAAACAAATGCTTAATTTCTAACAAAGAACTGATTATACCAACCAAAGTGCCAGAGTACACCATTGGTGTCAAAAGTGAAACTCATACTGTATATGGCTTCTTGACATATTCTGGCATAACATTTTTTAAAATAAGGATATTGAGGCTAATGAAGCTAATTAATGTGTGGTGTTACAAAAAAGAAATTTGAATTCCATATATATTAAGAATAATATGCATAAATGATGGTGACTTAACTTTTAATGATTCAGCATTTAAAAAAAAAAGATAAATTGAGGAAGAAGATGAGAAAGAGGAGAGGATTACGATTGTGGTCCCAAATCCACAAGAGAGTAAATCTCACCAGATCAGGACTATGTAACTCTCTTGATTAGAACTGGGACTGTTGAAGATAACTTTGGACAATGATTTCTAATTCAGTGAAAGAGAAATAAACACTTAAGATTATAAAGGATAGTTGGGATAATCTCTAGGGCCAAATCTCTTAGGGATATCATAGTCTAAATGATAGAAAAGACTTGGATCTTCCAGTTCAGGTAGTCCTCAACTTACAACAGTTTGCTTACTGACTTCAAAATTGCAACGGCACTGAAAAAATGACAGGATCATTTTTCACACTTATGACCGTTGTAGCATCTCCTTGGTCATGTGATTTACATTCGGATGCTTGACAACTAACTCACATTTATGAGGGTTGCAGGGGGTCCTCTGAATACCTTTTGCAACCTCCTGACAAGCAAAGTCAATGGAGAAACCAGATTCACTCAATCACCTTGTTACTAACTTAACAACTGCAGTCCACAGCTGTGACAAGAAAGGTCGTAAAATTTACAACTTAACACATTTCTCACTTAGCAACATAAATTTTGGGCTCAGTTGTAGTTGTAAGTTGAAGACAACCTATATTCCAGGTTCTCTAACAAAACAGAGGAAGAAAAGTTAATTTATGGAAGGTGGGTGAGAGTATTAATTTAATTATTTGCGCATATGGTTAAGGACCCAGAGAGCTATACAGTAGATTTGTGAAGATTGAGAATTTGCTGCAAGAAGGCCCTGGTTCTATTACAGAATTAGTTTCCAGGATTTTCTTGGATGGGAGCCATGACTTTTAAATGGTCTTGACGCGACTTTAAATGAATAACCATAGACATGCCCTCAAGGTCACCTTTCCCATTTTCTGACTTGCTGATTTAACTGAATCCGCAAAACAACCTTTTCCCTTTCTCCCTCATTAAATGTCTCTTGGTTCCAGAAGGGTCTTAGATCAAATGTGATTATTATTATTTTTTTGCAACTGTTTGCATTCAAATCTCATTCAAATTTAATCAGTACTCATTTCCTAGCAGGTTTTCACAGACCCCAGCAACCTCCAGAGGCACATCCGTTCGCAGCATGTTGGGGCTCGTGCGCATGCTTGTCCAGAGTGCGGTAAAACATTTGCCACTTCTTCAGGCCTCAAACAGCACAAACATATCCACAGCAGTGTCAAGCCTTTTATATGTAAGTCTTTGCTCAGCATCTACTGTTCTTCTATCCTTGAGCAAAATATGGGCTCCATTCCTACAACATATTTAAACCCAGAAGCATTAACCCAGTCACTTCTCTTTCCCGGGCAGTGCACAGTCCCACTAACTGGGTCAGAAGAAATCATTTGGGGAACAGGTGTGGTGGACTGGGATTGGAGTTGGGTTACATAATAGCAATAGCACTTAGACTTATATACCACTTTACAGTGCTTTACAGCTCTCTCTAAGCAGTTTACAGAGTCAGCCTATTGCCCCCAACAACCTGGGTCCTCATTTTTCCCACCTCGGAAGGATGGAAGGCTGAGTCAACCTTGAGCCTAGTGAGATTTGAAGTGCCAAATTGCAGTCAGCCGGCAGTCAGCAGAAGTAGTCTGCAGTACTGCTCTCTAACCACTGTGCCACCTTGGCTCATAAATAGCCAAAATAAATAAATAAAATAGCCAATCACTTCTCTGAAGATTAACCTCTGGCCTAATGAAGCCATTCATTAGGAAAGCATTGGTAAATCTCTAGGCATTCCTAGGTGTTTTACCCTATTGGCTATCTGGGTAGCAGTAGATGGCATTTAGCCAATCAAAATTCGGCTAAATATGGCTAAATATGTTCTGTGCTATCCGGTTTTGGCAGTGAATTCTGTAAATGAAAAGTCTTTTTGATTTGAGCTATTGTTTCTGTCAGTTTCTTTCTTGGAGAACTGTGTTTGCAAAACAGCTTATTGGATTCGGTTTAAGTGGTTCCTATGATGCATCCAACTAAGTTAATCCTATGCAAACGGGGTTTGTTTTGAATTAATCTTAATTCCCTGGGTTCTAGGTCACCTAACTCCTTTTTGACATTCCCTTCACACACCATTCTCTCCTCAACCCAATGTAGTATTTTTTGTGGCTGTATGGACATACAGTTAGATAGTGGTAATTTGAAAAATAATTTGGTTTTGTCCAGGTTCATACATAATGCTAGGTTATAAATGGGTATATTTGTTGGTGTGCAAATAGGGTCAGTTAATAAGCATTAATTTGTTTTAATGCAGTAAATCAGTTTGAAATCCATCATTTGTAGCTGGACTGCAATTACAGACTATCATGCTGTACAGGTGAAGATGCATGGGTTGTTTATTTGATTGACATCCCTGTGACCTGGTCAACCCAATGAAATTTGCTTATTCCTAATTTATTTTTCTATCCCACTCATGCCCTAACAAATCTACCGAGTTACAAAATGAGAGCAACTAAAAAGAGAGGAAAACAAATCAGGAATTGGTCCAGTGATTCATGATGACTTTATTCCTCTCTAAAACTCTCTCCAGCTTTTTCAAACATCCCAAGATTAAATCACAAATAGCACACTGTGATGGGTAAACATGTTACTTGTGGAGAATCTGGAGTTACTTAAAGGCAATTCTGTTATCTATATAAAATCAGCACATTAGTCCTATGTCATTTTAATTTTCTGCCTTCCTGCAAAGTGTTATTTTTTATTTCTCTGGACATTTTTTATCACAGAATTGAACACAAACATATGCATTTGTATTTTTTATAAATTGAACTGATGCCAAAGCTATTGAGTGGTATGTGTTGACAATATCAATTGAAGCAAAACAGAAAAAAATAATCAGTTTCTTTGTGCTAGAAGAATTAGGTGAATTGGCTCTTGGCTTCATTTGCACTTGGCTATCAGAAGTATTTATCACTCTCAAAGAGATGCAGTACTGTAGTTTGTTTATTTATTCATTCCTTAAATTTATGTCCTGTCTATCTTGTCCAGAAACAACTCCCAGCTGCCTACAAGCATTAAAACTACTACACAATTAAAATAATAAGGCAGAAAATAACAAGAGTAATCAATACTGTTAAACGATGGACAGTAGGGGAGCACAAAATAATGGGGAGAGATGGGTGTCTTTCCTAATTTAGTCACTATCTCCAGAACGGTGCACTCCTGTTGGGGTCCCAGGCCAGCTGGCAGAGACAGGTCCTCAGGTCCTTATGGAAGGTCAAAAGGGTGGGTGTGGATTACACAACAGAGGGTACAATGCTCCAAAGGGCTATCCCAGTTAATGGAATAATTGCAGTCTGTTTCTTTGTTTTTACAATCGATCTCAGCCTTTTCTTTTGAAATTTAAGAAGCTCAACAGCTATGAAATGAGATTGTGATGAGTAACTTCTGTGGGTATATTAGCAGCATTAGTAGTGAAGGGTAAGACATAGTATCAAGGAAAGAAAAGAAGGAAACCATAAGAAGGAACTTCGAATGAATAGACCCAAGGTTAATACTCTCATGGCAGATTCTCTCTCCTTGTCATTGAGTCCATGCATACTCCTCACTTCATGCCTCTATTCAGTGCAGCTACTTAGAATAAGTGTACCAATAGAAGAGAATATTTGTAGCACAGAGTAGAGCTGTAGGGTCTTTATAATCCACTTTGAGCTTTTCTTTTTTGAAGACATTACATTACCAAACTAGACAACACAATCAGTGCATCAAAACATCTGCAAGAAAACAATCTACGCCAGAGAGTACAACCCCCTCACACAGTGGAATAAGTGTCTCTGCTTTTTCCAACTTGTGGCTGTCCAGTTGTGCTAGTCACACACTTGCAAAATTCCCAGTTGACATCTGGAAAACACAAGGTGAGGAGAAGCTGCCAACGGTGGCTACAATTTGCGTTATATATGGGGAAGGGATGTGTGTGAAAATTCACCACAGGGTATTTTTAGCGATCCTTATTTATGGAAGATAGAACTCTGTTGCATTTCTCTGTTTGCTTCATATTCAGAAGCTTCTTAGTATTTGAAATTCTTGGGCAATTTTGGAAATACTTGTATAACCTCATTTTATATTGTGTACTCTGGCACTCTTTCCTGGATCTAAGTCTAATTGTGCTTTGAACCTTTTGTAAGTTTGTTTATTGTTCTTAATGTAGCTCCAGGAAGAAGATGAGAGCTACTGGTGGATGTGACTAATAAAGTGTTAGAAGATTCCACCAAGTGAGTTTCTCTTTAGCAAACCACTGAAAACCCTGGATTTGCTCCAGGCTATTACTAATTTCACAATAAACTCAAAGCAGTCTTTTCCTAAAGAAAAAAGTGCATCTTTATCAAATGAGAGCTTTTCACAGGCTGTTCACATTGAGAGTAAGGGGCTGATATAAAATCCTTACCATTTAAGAGCTTCCCTTTTGATTTGTTGCTTCTAAATGTGCATAGGTCAATTTTAAAAAAATAAAATAAAACACAGCATATTTTATTAAATGAAAACACATAAATGAAAAGTAGGCAGCTGCTGAGACAAATTACAGTTCTCAACCATTCCAACCAGCATGGCCGATGTTGTGGCCTGCCAGCGGCCAGCAGAGCTGGCAGCAGATTCGGACAGTGAGGAGGTTGGGGGTCCTGGAGTCTGGGGAAGGCTCTGATAAGGGCTCTGTGTTAGAGGCAGAGAGGGGGGCAGAGCCATATGCCAGTTATCAGCTGCTTTCAGAGTCAGACATCAATGAGGCAGATGAACAGGTGGAGCCTGTTCCCAATGTGCTCATGCGCAGAGTTCCCAGATGAAGGGAACAGCTAAAGGACAGGGGTCAACTTGGGAGTAAGGCCACAAATGGACGACGAATGGCCCCAGAGGAAATACAATAGGAATGAAAGGGGAATGGAGTTTGTAGGAGACAATTAGTTCACTTAATTGGCTCCTGACTCTCCGAGATTCCTTGCCAAGTTTTGCAGAGATCGGCCTGGCAGCTAGAGAGCTGCCCCAGATAAAGTCTGTGACTGTAAATCCTCCCTTGAAAGACTTTGTTGTATGTGAATGAGCAGAATTCACAGTAAATTAATAAAAGGGTTTTTTGTCGGGACCAGGAGTTTGCTTCATGCTCTTGGGAAGCCTAGGTCAGAACAGCCGAAGTGAGGTAGGCTGGGAATGGTCTCTCAGTTCTTTTGGAAGACCATAGGCTCCCCACCCTTGCTTTATGGCGCTACACTTTGAAGAGGTTGATATCAAGGCTGGCTAAACCAAGAGATGAATAGGCTGAAGAAGGAGAAACCAATGGAGTAAGACTGCCAGGTCTTGCCGCCAAAAAGTTTTCAGTGAGAATGTAGAAATGGCTTCTTTGTCATGTAATATAATGGCTTTCCTGGCCACAATGGAGAAATATATAATGTCGATTGATACGAGAGTAAGGCAATTTATGCTCTAATTTGAAACAACTGGGTGACTGAAGGGAGAAGATGATTGTTGCAGTGGGCAATGTCACAATGATATAGTGGACCATATGACTTTTAATGTCAATGTCAAATCCATCAGTGGGTCTTCAGTACAAATTAAGTATCTTTTCATCTTACATGAAGCTGGAACCCTTCAAATGTGTTGGGTCAGGTGCAAGAAATCAGGCATCCAGGCAGTTCAAATAAATAAACTTTTATTGTATCCTAATGCTCTGAATATGAATTCCTAATGGTCAAAGTAAATCGGTGCTAGTTAAGAGTCAACAAAATTCAAGGTTGCCTGTATTTAAATCTCTTGTGGTCATGAAGGGACTCAAGACTGAGATGCATTTGACTCCACCCTCAGGCTAAGCCTGGTCATCTTCTATAGTTGGGTGGAAATTCTAGCTACAATTCTAGCAGCTTCCAGCCCAGGTGGATATTCTGGAAGCTGGAACTCAAAGCATATAGAAGTGACAAAGTTTGGAAAAGCCTGTAAGACAGTCTTGCTTCCTGCTATCATTTCTGACAAGGAAGAAGCACAGAGAATAAGAAGATGGAATGTTTTCAGTTTATAGTGCATACTTATAGTCTTCAACTTACGACCATCATTGAACAAAGATTCAAAATTACAGTGGCGTCAGAAAAAGTGATTTATGACCTGTCTTTACACTTCTGAATTTTGAACCATACCTGCAGTCATGTGACCACAATTTGGGTGCTTGGCAACTGGCTCCTATTTATCAAACAATTACAGCATCCATCAATCATGATT